AGAGAGAGAGAGTTTGAGCATCAGCAGCACGCGCGGGGCGAATCAAACTGGACAAACACGCGCTTATTTCAGCTTTTTTCGCGGATTCTTCGGGGAAGTTCATCGGCTTTGTGGATGAAATGTTTGTGCCCGTGGCTTTGCTGGTATTAATTCAGAGTAAGTGCTTTGTTCCATGTGATCTTCTTAAAGTCTCATGATCTCCGTTAGAGAATAAGATTAAGTGCTTGTGTTCTTCTGTCTCATGTCGTATACTTTCTCCAGTTCCATTAAATACCATCTATATCATCTGTACGCGTGATGATTACATCTGCAGGCAAAAGTTGTCCATTTACAAATGATTGGGTTAAAACGGTCAAATACCGTAGTACTTGAATATCATTTAGTAGATCTACAAAACCATGGTATACTATCACCACAGTACTTTGTTGTAAGGTTTGAAGTATAATTTTACGAAAAATCTCTTAAGATTATTGTTCAGTCAATAAAAATTGAGTTTAGATTTGAATTAATGATATTAAACATAATTCATTAAAACAGTAATAATTCGCTTGCTTTGATTTTAACTTTAAATATTAATATCTCATCTGAAGTAAACAGATGAGCTGAGATTACTATCCTAACCAGTACTAACATGGTCAATATCATTAATGCTGCTGGTGGAACTTGTTTATTACTAATATTTATTCCAGTATTTATAATTACTTTTCTTAGTTGGCTTTTGATATCTAATTTTGCTGTGAAATGTTTTATTTATCTCAGTTTGTCTACATTTAGTTAAGTTCAAAGATACAAAAGTCATGGAAAACCTGAATATATATATATTTTTTTTTTTTCTTTCCCGGCTTCACTTGTTTTGAAAATGAATAAATTCTTAAATTCATGGATATTTCTGTAATGAATATATGTTTTTTTTCTAGTTAGGCCTACATCATGGGTTTTCAGAAACTTGTAGGTCAGTGCTATTTAATCACTGAGATATTGTACTTTTTCTTAGTGTTTTGAATCAGTTTTTACTTTTACATTTTTCATTTGAGGTATTTTGGAAAACCACTTTAAATGAAAATAAGTTTTTTTTTATGTTTGATCTTATTTCATTTCAGTTAACGTTTATTTTATCTATAATAACCCAAACTGTATTTACATGATACTTAGTTTATTTTATTTTTTTATAAATACCATGGTACTTGGCCAGGAGAATTTGTAGAGTGTGTGTATTTGGGTGGTCATCCATGTGATGCTGAGCATGTTTGTGAGGGTTCAGATGTGCAGTGCGTCTCTGATTCTGCATCTGTTGATTCTGGCTGAGTTTGATGGTGTGTTTTACTGTAATTCTGCTCAACACGCTGCGTCTCATGAGATCTCAGAGAACACTTGTGATGCCACGGCTCTGATCAAATGGTGTGTGTGTGTTGAGGGTGGAGTTGTCTGTACCAGCTGTTCCAGGCAGAGTTCCACAGAGTGTCTTTGTTCTTTGCGAGTTTCTCGCGCTCCACAAGCTCACAAACACCCGACAGATCAACACAACAATCAATTAACACTGGGCTTTTTCCCCTATTTATTCACAGGCATTATTACAGGCCTTGTATTGACAAAAATTCACAATTGAGTAGTTGTTAAATTCAATAAGATTCTCTTTAAGAACATTTATCTAATTATGAATATTTCATAATTATTTTAGTGTTATTTTAGTATCTAAAAGAGTATTGAAAATGGGTTGTTGTTATTTTAGTATAGAAAATGGGTTTTTGTTATGGTTTTATGGTTTCTGGAAATAAATACAAGAAAGCTGTTTTAAAAAAGAAAACAGCTGTATTCTGTTTTCGTTGAATTTCATTGATTGTTCATGACAATTTACCCCTCACAGGAAACTTTGTGCGTTTTTAGATTTTCAAAAAACACCATTTAGTATGTTTTTTTTTTTTTTTTTAAAGCCTTTTGAATTACGGGGACACCGGTAGTGTCCTCACAAACCACCTTCACATTGTGTCATATACAAATTTGTGTCCTCATAAACCACCCAAACCAGTGCACACACACACATACATGTCAAGTATTTGTTGTACTCCATTTAATTTATGCTGATTTCAAATTAGAATTTTTGTACTGAAGCCTTACAGTATAGTAACACTGCAATAATAAAAATGGGGGAAAAAAGAATTTGTATAATATTTATTATTCTTTTTAGATATATTTATTATGTAATGTATAATATAAAATATATATCATTGTTATTATTTATTATTATTTTATTTAAAAAATTTAAGAACATATTACAGTAGTGAGAATTTAGGGGTAAATGTTGTCATTATAAATAATAATAAATAAAAAATCCATTGTCTTAATGCAATTTCTTTTTCATTGTTGTAGTTTTTGGGGTGAAATATGACCTGAACATTATGGTAAGATTCAGCAGGTGTATCTGTATGATTGTTTAAATCTTCTCATACTAAAGATTAATTTGCATTTGCTGTTGTGTTTAAGAGCTGTAAAATATGAATCCGAATCAGTGAGCGAGTATGTTTATGTGCTGACTCAGGACACCAGCAGTGACAGGTGTGTGTGTGTTTGTGTGTAGTTCTCACAGGGACAGTTGCTGTCCATGTGTCAGGTCGTCTTATCAGACTGGACACAGTGTTTTCATGTGCGTTGATTCCCGTCAGCACACAATGCCTCTGTCCATCTCTCCTCAAATGCAGACGGAGGGGAGAGGTGATAAGACGTCAGGTGCAAGGTCGAGCTCAGCACTGAGCTGCTGATAAGATGCAGTTAGAAATCTCGGCTGAATAGAAATACAGATCCTGTCATCATGTACTCTCCCTCATATTGTTTCAGAGCCGTTTTGACTTACTTTATTCAGTGGAACATAAAAGGAGACGTTTAGCAGGCACCCTCTTTAAAATAATCACATTTTGTTGCTTTGCAGCCTGAAATGAAGACGGACACAGTTTTTGTTTTATCCAGCTGTATTTACTCAGTGCAACTTATAACATCCAAGTGAAAGATATAACACCGACATGTAAGAAAACAACAACAACTGAATACTGAGTTGGAAAAAGGATCCTCCCTCCTAAAAATGACTTATAAACTCAAATCAGGTGGAGCTAATTACCTTCTCAATGGCACACAAAGTCATTTGACTTTCAACTGTGATCAGCTGTGGTCATTTTGATTAGCACAGCATGAAAATAGCTTTCCTGGAGCATTTCAGTCATTGGTAGTGCAACTGAAGCAAACAATCAACTATGGGTGGCAAGACTGTCAAAAGATCTCCGGGATAAAGCTGTGGACAGGCACAAGTCAGGAGATGGATACAAAAAAAATTCAAAGGCTTTATCAAAAGTGAAAGTGAAGTGACATGTGGCCAAGTATGGTGACCCATACTCGGAATTAGTGCTCTGCATTTATCCCATCCAAAGTGCACACACACAGCAGTGAACACACACACACCGTGAACACACAGTGGGCTCCATCTTTTATCAAATTTAACTGAACTTGAGCAGTTCTGCAAAGAAGAGTGGGCAAATATTGCATTAGGTGTGCAAAGTTAGTAGAGAGAGACGTATCCCAACAGACTAAAGGCTGTAATTAAAGCAAAAGGTGGTTCAGCAAAATACTGACACAAGGAGGTGATCCTTTTTCCAACTCAGTTATTGCTTCTTCTTTTTTTTAATTTCTGACATGTCGGTGTTATATCTTTCATTTGGATGTTATAAGTTGCACTGAGTAAATACAG